TCCAGCAAAACTACAGAGGCATTAAATTCTGCTTTTTACTAATTCATGATCCTGATAGAGGTTGGTTTTTTTTTTCGTAAGGGGAAATTGCATACTCAGAGGATGACTCAGATTGCATCTTGGCCTGCAGTTTTGTTTTAGGGAGCTGTTCTTTTTTTCTTTTTTTTTTCTTTTTTTTCCGTGCAGACGATATGATTAAAAAGCAAATATTTTAACATAACTTAGTGATCTGAGCTATTACTGAAATGTCCACAGTTTCACTCTTTTTTTTTTTTTTCCTCCTAGATTAAAGAAAACTTTAAAAATCTATTTGCTTTGACATATGACACAATATTTAAGAACTGAAATCATCAATTAAATCACACATCAGAAACATTTCCCTTTGGTAAAAAATATAGTGCTAGACGATGTACACTTTGAAATTGTTGTTAATGTTTAAAATGCAATCTGAAGTGCATATGTTATTTAAAAAAAAAAAAAAAACACCATAAATTACAAATTTTAAAAGTTTATGAAAAAAAAAACCCTAGCGATCATTGCTTAGCAAAAGCATGTGTAGAGAAATGTGTATCTTTGGGGTTTATGGATATGCATAGTTTTCTAGCATGAAAGCTGAATATGTTATTCTTTATTTCATTTCCCCCCCCCCACCCCCGTTTAAAACTGAGTAGATCTAAAGGAAACAGAGTTCCTTCTGGGTGCCTGTAATAAAGTACCAAACCCGATATGCACATGAAGGGAGTGAAAGCCCTTTGGATTGTCACTGAAAATAGAAAAGGTGAACGTTGACAAGATTTCAGATTTTATTTTATTTTTTTTTTCTGGGGACTAAGGGAAGCTGAAGTTAAAAATAAAGCTCTCGTATGGTCAACACGTTGGAGGAAATTCAAAGACTCTCATAAAATAAACATATTTTAAGAAGTGTTTTGAATTTCACTGTGTAATTTCTGGCCAACAGAAATTACAGTTGTATCTTTGGAGGGACGTTATGTCAGATCAATGGTCATTATGCAAAAAAAATAAAATATTAAAAAAAATGTGAAAACTTGATGCCTTAACTCGTTCAGATATTAAAATGCAAACATGAAGAGGGGGACTTTTCTCTAGAAAACTTTGTGCCACTGTGTCGCAATCAGAAAATACTTGGGTGTGATGTTAGAGGAGATGTGTAAATCCTTCGGGGGAAAAAACCCGAGCGTCGCACGCTTTGGCAAAGGAATCCCCTCCGTAGTTATTAAAAAAACACATCCAACCCTTTATGTCCTGAAAAATAAAGGAAATTATCTGAAGCATGTGCGTAAGTTAAAATATCCCAGCCCGGAGTGTGCTGCGAAGTTGTTCCTGGGCTATATTTAACTGTAACCTTTGGAGTCTTAAAGTCGAAGGAGAAGGATGTCTGTTCTGCCAGGTATGGGTGATGGTCCCCGCTCTGGGTGTGAGTGTCCCTGGATCCCAGCGTGTCCCCTGCTTTTTTCCCCCCCAGTGTTATTAAGAAAAGCCGTCCATACTTCACCATGTTGTTACATGTGTCTGTCTGCTGATTATAAAATGTGTTAAGCAGTATTTAAAAAACAAAAAAATGCAGAGCTGCGCTTTGATTTATTCAGCGAACAAAACATATGCTCGCTGTTCTGTTCTATGTAATTCATATGATCAATAAAATTTTCTTGAAAAAGAGCAACTTTGGCATTTAGAAGGATTATGCTGCTGAAGGGAAAAAAAAAAACACATTTCGCTCTTGCTTTACGTACCCAACCTCCCCGCTCTTGCACCAAAATCAGTTTTTTGGCTCTCTAACGTCTATTTTTTTTTAAATTTCTTTATTGTTTCTCATCTTCAGGGTGGAAGCTGTCTATTGTGGCTGCTATCCGCTGTGTCCCAAAGCCTTGGTGTACCCGGAGATATTTCCAGGTAGCTGCTTTTCCTGCACATTCCTTTTTTTTTTTTTTTTTTTTTCGCTGAAACCCAAGAACGTGATTCGGGCTCAAATACAAAGTTTGGAGAAGAAACTTGAGCAAAAAAGCAATTGTTTATTTGGCAAGCCAACATGTTAGTGTTAAGGAAAATTTTATGTGTTTTAATACATTAGACGAAGTTTATATTTGCCATCTGTTCTTTTAAGATAACACAAAAGCAAGTTTTGAAATAGCATTCTTCATTGTTAGCATACACAACCCGTAATGATAGATTTTTGTTAAAAGGTCAGTGATGCTGCAATGGTTTGCAGATTTTTTTTTTTGATACGCAGAAATAGGAGAAAAAAAAAAAAAAAGAACGAGGCCTGAAAATCACACCAAATTATTTAAACAATTTAATACTTAATAGCATGCAACTGCAGTACAGGATACACACTAATGTAGTACCAGTTCTTTGAAAAATCTCATCACTAAATGTATCACATATGCATTGTGTTACATTAGAATAATGTATTTTAATCACCCAAAGGAGATGTCTAAACAGCACAACTACACAGTCTTATTTAGCATTAAACATCCTTGTGAGCTGAGGTAACCTTATAAAATCATGCTTAAATAATGTAAAACACGAGGCGGCACAGAGCAATATGCATTTTTAATTAGTAAAGTGACTAATATCGAGTGTGTGCTTTGAGGTTTTTGTTTCATTAAAAATGTATCTGTTTTTCCTGCAGCTGAATATCTGTATTCTACACCTGAACAGCTTTTTAAAAGGCTTCAGAATTTCTGCAAGAGACCAGATATTGTAAGGAAACATCTCTATAAGGTAGTTGTTCGGAATAGTTTTACATGATATAATGCCGTATTGAAGTACAAAGGGAAAAAACCCTTAAAAAAACAACATTTAATTAACATACTAATGTTTAAAGGAAACATGCTAGGGAGGGATATTAGTCGTTACACTAACAAGGATTAATTAAACTAGATGCCAGTTGTATTAACCTAGGTCTTATGAAATACGTGCACTTAATGCATGCTACATGCTTTTTTTTAATTTATTGTTTTCTAAAATGACTGTCCTTTACATTTGGACCCAAGAGGCTTATAAAAATGAACCTGGATTAATGCAACTCATTAGTTTAAAAGGAAAATAAAAGAAAGATCCTACAATTATACTAATGAGGATAAGCCTACGTTCCGATCCTAATTTAATCCTCGGGCCTCAAAAAGTGCAGGTGACAGGTATCAGGTAAGATTTCTCTGCCTTTTGGAATTATTTGAATTATTTCCATAATTATGATTATTTTAACTCTTTGCTTTTAAGGTATGCTAAGCATAAAAAAAAAGTTTATGGGCAGCATAATTTACTGGTATTTATCACGTCCTATTCTTTGCAGTTATTTATGTGGGGAAAGTACAGTTTCAGCAACCGACCCTCCATTCAAGTCGTGATGGAGTGTTCAATGCTAAACCGACTTCCACATTTTTAAGAGGTGTATTCATACTGCTAGAAGCCACACTGGTTTTGTGGTTTGTTTTTTGTTGTTGTTTTTTTAATTAATTACTCAATTGTAGGTGAAGCGCTAAATTTTATATCATTCCGGTGAAGAGCTGTTATTACACGATGCTGCTTTCAGAAAAAAAAAAAAAAAATCACTGCTGTTTTCTGCATGCTGATATATCAACTTACAGCGTTGTCTGACTTTTACCATCCTGGCCGTGCCGTGGGCAGGTTGGATGCACGTTACCCCTGCACGACAAAGGTCTTTCAGTTTGGAAAAAAAAACAAACCCTGAATTCAGCTGAAAGTTCCTTAAAAGGAGTGAATAGAAATAGTCGGGTAAACGTGGTCTTTTTTAGCCTTCCCCTGGCTGTCGCCGTCCAGGCACGCCGTTAATGAGCAAGTCGAGTAATCTCCTCCTTAATTTGGAGGCTCGTGCTGGCAGCAGAGCTCACCCCATCTCTCCACCTTCCTCCCTCTGGGGACCGGGACGTGTTGGGTCTCGCCGGCTCTGCCCCTTCCCTCACACATGTGGCAGGAGGAGCCAAGGCTTTTAGCCCACGCCTGACTCTTTTTGTGACCTAAAAATAGACATTTACATAATGATGCATCAAAGATGATGTTGTTTCTGCAGGAAACGGTTAAAACTTCAAGACAAAAAAAAAAAAGAAAAAAGGAGAGAACCAAAAATGCAATTTAACACCCAATTTCAAGCTCATTATCTTTCATTGTCTATTAACTTGGCAATGGTTCAGAAGGTAGCTCATAATAGTTTAAAATGCTGACTGAACACTTCCAGTGTTCAGCATTACTTCTTGAGTCAATAGTAGCGTAGAGTTATACATGGTGGCTTCAAAGGGAAAACACTCCTTAAACGTTTACCTTGACATTCCCCGACGCTTCTTGCTGGGCCAATAGTCACGTTCTCGTGGATCTTCTCTCTCCTCAAGGCAGCCAGGGTGTGCTAAAAACGGGGAGAACGGTAGAAAGAATACTGATAGAAAATTAGTCCGGGTTTAAAATGTGTGCCTGAGCCCTGTAAGCGAAATTCTAATTTTCTTTTATTAAAAAAAGCATCCCTTGGGATGGTTTGCAGGCAGGAGCTGAAGGTGTTGATCCTACCCCTCCTACGTGGGCGCTATTAACAGCAAAGCCACCTTCAACCTTCTCAGTGTTGAGGCAACAGGTAACGAGTGACTTGAACCAGGGATCGCTTTAAAATGAGTAAAGCAGAGCCTAATCCAGAACCTGTGAGCACCCCGTTGTCTTTAATAGGCTTTGGATCAGCTCGGAGAATGCTGTTAGAGTTGTCTTTTTGTACCTACACCCACGTATATGCTGAGGCTTCCTCTGGCAGCGAGACCATCCGCACAACCTCCTGGAAAAACCCTCACTTAGAGATGTGCTGCTCGTGGAATTACAGCTGGAGCCATGCTGCTTTTTGGGGAGCTGAAGAGTGAAATCACAGAGGGTACGCGGTGCCTCTGCCCTATTTTCACTTTTTTCAGATCGGTATAATATTATATATATTACAGTAGAACAGAAGAGGGACCCCAGAACAGTGATGCATGCTAACTAGCTATTTTTCTTTCAGAAAAATTACATTTTCCCCTGCCTCAAGTTCATAAAGTAGCTGTAAGGTCTGGAAAGTAAAAATGCTTTAAAAGCAAATAGTGCTTTTCTCCACTGGTTGGGGATTCTGCTTCGTAGGTCGGGAAGTAATCATCATCAGAAGTACCTTGGCTTATCCGTTGATGTATTGTTGGGGTTTTATTGCTAAGGATATCCATAATAATTAGACAGCGGTCTAATTAAATAGGTGGTTTATTCCTTCAGCTGCTCTCAGTGCTTGGGCTGACAAAGTTTGGGGCGAAAAAGGGGAGAAGTGGCAGCGGGGCAGCCAGGTTTGGGAGCCGGCCACGGGGAATATCCCTGTGAAAATGCACAGACCGAAAATTAAACTCGACAGAGCAGACTGATGCTGGCAAGACTTTTTTTAAAGTGTCCATAATGTAAGCACCTATAGAAACCTTTCCAAGTGATGTATTGCTCGCCCTGCGTATTCTCACAGCACCCAGGGCCGCCTCATTTGCATTTCGCCATTGCCTTCCGCCGGTTATTAACGGGAGATTGAGATGAGTGGAAAGCAAACCTCATTTGTTATCAATTATTTGTTGTGTTCCAGTTTTGTGGAGTCGAACGTTGCTCTCTCTGGTTGTGGGTATTTGCAGTTGCCAAAGTAAGAGCCAGAATGAAGGAAGCAACACCACCAGGGCATCCATGGGAGGACACCGTAGGACCTGTCAGTGTTTCCAAGCTCCCTATCTAGTAGATTTAAAATTAAAAAAAATATATAAAATAGGGCAAAGCATTTGTTTCTGCATTATTTTCTTCAAGTTTACCTTTCAGTTCCCTCACTTCAGTTTCTTAATTTAAAACAGCATGTATAAAGAGTATACAGTGGAAAGGGACAAGAGGAGTTGCCAAAAGCCAGGCATGGAAGGAGCTGACAACTTTAAATAATCTCTCCCAGCCCTCCCAGCTGAATGAGTGCTGGTTGACATGCTGTCAGCTTCAGTTCCTACAGAAAAATCCTGCTCTCACTCGGGCTTGTTTAGCGGAGAAAAGAATTTGGCCCACTTTCTGACATTCATCTTCTCATTTCCATCACACTACAGAAGCTCACCTGCCTATGAAAAGACACATGGCGTGATTTTTTTTTCCTTCTTTCTTACACCACTGTAGAAGGGAGCCTGCTGAATTCAAAGGGATTAAACTGCTGTAAAATCAAATTAAGGTCCCAGTTAGACCGTAGACATCTGAATTGTTTCCAGTCTCAGGATTTGGCTGTGCAGGGCAGATTGAACAAAACTTTCTTTTTTCTTTTTTTTCCTCCTCTTTTTCGCTCCGACTTGAGACAAAACAGTGTCTTTGGTATTTCAGGTAAACATGTAGATGGGAAAACCGCCCCTGGTCCAGCTTTAATATTTAGGGACTGCTAGGAAAGCAGCAGGAGGAATTCTCAGCCTAAGGATACGTGAGGGTGCAGGGGAGCCCCGTGCCAGATGTCCCATCAGCCACTCAGCCCTGTTGCGAGGAGCAGTAGTCATTCATAGTTCTTATGAAGACCATGTAAGAGCCAGGGATGATGCCTCCTTCCTTCTCCTTACCCACCATCCAGAAAAACTCCACCAGAAATTTTATTTTCCATCAGGATGCCAACTGCCACTGTGGATCAGCACGTCTTGTGTTTAATGCCATGGTTTTGATAGCAGTGAGCATCAGATATTTGGGAGAAGGCTGACACAGGTAGAAACAGGGTATTAACAGTCTTCTCTTGGCCTTTTGGAGTTAGAGATTGGTCCTAACCCCAGACTTGGAGGTTTTATCATCTTTCATCATCCTCTTGTAGGATTAAGTATTGCCATGATGTACGTAGTAGTTCTCCATTTGATGTTCAGGCCCTTGGAAAGCCCTGGTTTTGTCTTTCGCGGCTTCCTATAGCAAAGTTGCTCATCGTATGTTTGCAGATGGCATTAAAAGCCTTCCCTTCAGTTGGCTCAGGGTTTCCCCACCTTCAGTTGCATTGAGCATCTCGTTCTGAAGTTGGTCGCCTGGAAGCAGAAGCTCCACATCCATCTCTTTCTGCACCATTCATGATTTTATAAACATTTGTCAAGCACTTAGAGTATCCCGGTCTTTCCAGTCTCTTCTTGTGAATGTTATTCCATGTTTATATTCTTATCTCCCATCATTCAAGTAATTTTGATGCTTGAGAGCTGTTTTTGTGCTGGCGTGATCATTGCTTTACAGAGTATTCTAGGCCACGCCATCAGTTTATGTGATGTGTTGTACTCTGATAATTTTCAACCTGTTCCTTACGGAGCCAACCACACTGTTTACTTTTTAATCGTGAATGTATATTGAGCAGATGTTTGCTTACAGTGTTCTCCAGATCTTTTGTCCCGAGCTGATAAAGTTAATTTAGAGCTTTATAGGGTATGCAAATAGTACAAATATTTCCATCCATCCTGCTGGCTTTCCACTCAACAGCAGAGGATATTTGCAGAGAAAAAAAGAAGGCGTTATATGGAACTTATGCTTCTACCTGGTTGGCATTAGGTGCAGGCTGGTAGGAGGTTAGAAGTAGATGTGGGAAACTTGTATTTGCCTCTTGAGATGCTTGGTTTCCAGTAAGTGTAATTTAAAATGGTTTCAGAGATGACAGATAGAATGATAGAATGGTTTGGGTTGGAAGGGACCTTAAATATCATCTACTTCCAACCCCCTGCCATGGGCACAATTTAAGCATTTTGGATCAACCTTAGGTCTTCAAGCAGGGTGTGGGTCTGGAAGCAGCTGTGGTAGAGAGGAAGAAATGGGCTAGCAGGTATGCTGCTGAACGTATAGAATCATAGAAAGGTTAGAGTTGGAAAGGACCTTAAAGATCACCCAGTTCCACCCCCCTGGCCTGGGCAGGGACACCTCCCACCAGACCAGGTTGCTCAAAGCCCCATCCAGCCTGGCCTTGAACACCTCCAGGGATGGGGCAGCGATGGCTTCTCTGGGCAACCTGTTCCAGTGCCTCACCATCTTCACAGTAAATAATTTCTTCCTAATATCTAACCTGAATCTCTCATTTTTCAGTTTAAAACCATTATCCCTTGTCCTATTGCTCCACTCCCTGATCAAGAGTCCCTCCCCATCCCTCTTGTAGGCCCCCTTTAGGGAGGGGGTGTGCTAGGCCATTCTGGGATCCAACCATGCATTTATAAACATAAGTATGTATGTGCATATAGATATGTATGTGTCCTGCTTCTGAACTTCTCCCAGGGCTTGCCTTGCTCTTGGCTCTCCAAGATCCATATCTAGGAGATTCCAGCTCTCTGAAAATGTTGGTCTATAGCTCATAGCAGTTGGCTGCACTTGGAGAGCAGGAAGAAAGCGTTCATTAAGAAAGCAGTTACATGTGCATCTTTCAGCATAAACACCAGGACTTTGAACTTCTTTATTATAACAATGTTAGATAGCTTCCAATTTAGTTTTAGAAAGTAAATGAGAACTGGCAGATGAACCGCAGCTGCTGTGAAATGGTAGATGGAGAAATGGGTCAAAGGAAATATGATGGACTTTGAAAGAAAAGTTGCAAAAAGCATGAAAACTACTTCTTTTTTTTTTTTCAGTAAAGTATATTCAAATTACCTTGAGACAGAAAGCCTGAAACTGTTTTCCTAACGTAGTTGGTCGGTGTGCTCTGAGCCATCCTATGCCAGGTACCCACCAGCATATCTTGCACGTATTTGCATCCAACATGTGATGTTTAAAGAAGTTTGTGTTTAAAAATGGAAAGAATTAAATGACTATTAAAAGGCCCATGTAAGAAACTGCAGAACCAGACCAGTTTGTTCAGGGAAATACTGTTACTCTGCTGAGGAGTACGATATAGCTCTGACTCGGACCTCCCAGTGCACCCAGTTCGTGGAAACCAATGCTGTCTTTTGATGGTGTTTTCCACAGGTGCTCAGAGTTTGAAAGTTGAGCTCCAAAAGTAATTAATACAACCTGCTTTCCACCTTGATTCTTCCCCAATACTCACTAACAGAGGGAAGGAGCTGGGTCACAGAGTAAAGGTGACCCAATACAAATTACTTCTGTAAATCGCTCTGCTGCCTCACCTGCCAAATCTCAGTTTTTGTGCTGAATAATAGTCTCTAATTCTTCATTTTGGTAAGGTAGTGGGTTTTTTTTAAGTGCATGAAATGTACACCAAATCAGTACTGTCTGCTTGAACTCCAGCCCTCCTGATACAGCAGGTCTGAAAGGCTGCACAGTCCTTATTAAATTCTATGAGTTAACTCTGAAGTCTAATGATGGCAGAGTAGATGTGAATTTCTTCAGTTTTGCTCTTCAGACACAAGAAACTAAAAAATTGATTTTATCATGAAGAATATTGTACTGCTACTGGATATGCTGCTGAAGAATACTGTGCCCTACTTGCCCAGGGCAGGGGGGTTAGAACAAGGTGATCTCTAAGGTCCCTTCCAACCTAAACCATTCTATGAGTCTATGATCTTGTTATTCTGCCTGTTATTGATGGGGAAATCTTACTTTATGTGAAAACTTTGGTTCTCTTGATGATTTTCTCTCTGCGTATTTAGGAGCTGTTGACTAAATTCCTTGAGAAAACAAATGCCCAGACCTTTGCAGAGTTACCACCCCCCAAAAACGGAGTTGAATTTATTCTCCCTGAGGTTACTCTAAAATTAAAGGCCCAGAAGCCAGACCGCTGATGGCCAAGCAGGAGAATTAGGACCTCACTCCTGCTGGTTCTTGCTTCCACCATGTCTGAGGGTGAGAGGGGTGGGTCAGTCCCCCCATGTCAGTCCTTTGTCTGAAAAGCAGATGGGCGTTTGATGGTGGAAGCTCTCATCCAGGAGCAGATAACCTGGGGCCACCAACCAGCTTACCCATCTTTAAAAAAACGCACCATGTCTGAGGGTGAGAGGGGTGGGTCAGTCCCCCTATGTCAGTCCTTTGTCTGTTCACCAGAAAAGCAGATGGACGTTTGATGGTGGAAGCTCTCATCCAGGAGCAGATAACCTGGGGCCACCAACCAGCTTACCCATCTTTAAAAAAACGCCGAATTCACCCCATTTCCAGATAACGCCGTGGAAGCGTTGTCCACCCAACTCCCTCCCACCACACCTGAAACCATGGGTGTTGCAGAGTGTTTTTCCTGCACGAGAGATGTCCCTTGTGTGTCCTGGCATCTAATGAAGCTTCGTCCCCTTGTGCGTCCCGGCATCTAACGTGGCTTCGTGTGCTTTTCTCCTCTGCTTCCTCGTAGGGCGAGACGGCTGGCTTCTCTTGGGCAGCGCTCGGCGGTAAATTCAGGTCTCTGCTCGCAGCAGAACCGAGGGAAGATTTGTGACAGATGGGGCTAAGTCACAAACTTGCAGCCTCAGGCAGAATTGTGGAAGTTTCCAGAGTGTGCCCATATTTACCTGATCAGAGAGAAAAGAAAATCTGCAGAGGAAGCCGAGCCTGGCTGCTTGTCATAGCTGACACAGAGCCATCTGCCACAAACCTGTGGCGGCTTCAGATCTCCAATCCCTGCCACCACCCCAGCTCAAATTAAATACAGATTCTTAGAGACGTTATGATGGTTACACATGTCCTCGGCATCACATGCAGGAGACTGTTCAAAAAAAATATGTGGCCTGTTGTATAACCGCACTCATGTATCCCATATGTGGTGCCACATTGAATTTCCGGTTGAATCTGTTTTTATCCTTTGTACTGGATGACATGGTGCCTGAATTCTTTCTTTTCGCCGACACGATGGCAGCCAAGCTGCAGCTTCAAACGCTCGCACTTGGCTGAGTTTCTACCTAGGTTGCCAGGTTATCATTGGAGCCTTATTGTGTCCTCAAAGGGCCACAGGGCCTGAAAGGAGGATCCCAACGCCGCCGGACTAATTGGGCAGCCATCGCCGGGTTGTTGGGAGGCAAAGGGCTGCTTTAGCACTTTTTTTTTTTCTTCCTTCTTTTTGTTTTTTTTTTTCTTCCTTCTATTTTTTTTTTTTTTTTTTTTTTTGCAAATTAATGACTCTCTGGCACGGGGGTTTTTAAGTGAAGGTATTAATAAGGGGTCTGGCAGGTAATCCCATGATTCGCGGAGTTACATTTGCATTTAATTAATCTTAAAGAAAGCTGAAAGATAAACAGCTGTAATTCAAACTAGCATGGGAAATATGCTACATGGTGCCATCTATCCGATAAAATGAAAGCCGAGACACTTGTTTTATTTCTCTCAAGGATGGAGAACAAACAGATAACAGTCAAAATACTTCCAATAAAAACCAGTAGTTTAAATGTAACGGCAGTTCATCAAGAATCTTTGCATCCAGTTACAAATTCAGTCTTTTAAAGATAAATCACTTATGATTCCAGCAGTCAAGCTGCTATATTTGTTGATGTAAAATGTTTTGAAGATGTAGATTGTACAATAAATTTTTAATAAAGTGCCCACTGCAATTTTTAATTAGCATATCTCATTCATGTATAAGTGTGTACATCTATCTGTGTGTTTATCACTATGCATATCCTTGTGTCAGAGTCAATGAATGCAATTGTGTCTTTATCTGATGAAGTAGAATCTGTTTTGCAAGTGATAATAAAACGTTACGACGATTCCAAGATTTCCAGCTCCGCTCTGGGAAGAAGCAAGAAGAGGACTCTGGGTAAGGCCTTCCGATGCTCGGTAAGACCTCTCTTTGCAGACAGGTCTTTGCAGACCGGGCAGCAGCCATCACCATCTGTCCTTTGCCCGAGCACCATCCACAGCGAGTGAAAGGCGTGGGCTGGTGCCCCTCAACACATGTGTCTCCTGATGCCATTGAGATGTTGACCTGTCCTTCTCCAGTGCAAACGAGAGCATGCAGTACCTCTCTTTAAAATTACTCCATTCAGCAGTGAAAAAACCCAAGGGAGATCCAACGGTAAGCGTTTGGTTATTCTCCTAGCAGCGCCGAGTTGTCATTTTGCAGTAACCATCTATCTTGTACGTTGGTTCCTCCTCATTTCTGTTCGACTGAAGCCCAGTTTGGGTCTTTTGGGTGTTTCGTGTGGTTGAGTAGAAGCCGTCTTCTCCAGACAGCGTGCGTAGGTGTGGTAGTCATACTTGGTAGAGCCAAATAACAGGACTACTTTGCACTTCTTACCACAGCGTATCATAGACGTTCACTAATTTTATCACATCTTCCACTGACGAGCAAATTTTGGGTTTTACTGATGGGGAAACTGAGGCATGGTACAATTACAGCGAATCAGTTTGAGTTTCGCAGTGAGTCATTCTCCAAACCAGTAAAAGGGAAAGAGGAGATGCTGTAACGTTGTGCAAGGGCTGGTGGTGAGCAGACCCCATGCACCAGAGCTCTGTGGTTTCGAGTTGAAGGTTCCTGCTCTCCTCGGTGCCCACCGCCAACGGAGGTCTCACCCAGCTCCTTGGCGAGGTGACACTCCGTCTTGGTTATCGGTGATGATGACATGGTACTTTAACCATACGCAGCTCAGCCTGGTGCTTCATCTTGGTGGAAAATTTTCCCTCCGAGTGATGAACCCTTGCAAATAACGTTTTATAATAGAAACACTGGGAGAACTCTTAATTGCAGGGTAATAAATAACAATGCCACGTTATCTTCTGATATTTCTTTACAGCCTTAGCAAAGATGGAGAGCTGGTGTAGAGCAAGGAGGAAAATGTCCTTACCGCATCTCCTAGGACCTTCAGGTTGGCCACCCTGGCCTGTTTCCAGGTCCTCGGGTCAAGAGGGACTTCCAGGTGGTGGGAGGTGATTGTCCCCTGAGGAGGTCTTCTCCCCACCAGCCCCGCCGGAGTCTGAAACAACCTGAGGAGTTTTGCCTGGCAGGTTCTGAAGATGAAACGAGACGGCGGCTCCGCGCGGCTTCATTTAAAGCCTTCACTTCAAAAGGTCAGGGAGACAAATTGGGATCTGGGTCCCGTTGTTCCTACACACATGAGTAAGCGGGGAACGCGGAGACCTGATCTTAAGGAGCGAGATGACAGAATTAGCCCTCGACTTAGTTTCGTGTTTATTGATGTGTCGCCCGCGTTGACAGGGCGGCTGCGGGCGCTTGGGTGGTGCTTTGGGTGGGGGGTTAAAGCCCAATGGGTTTTCCCAACTCCCAGCAGCATTCCCACTGGATGGCTCCTCGTCTCCTGCCTCGATAGCAGGCCAGGCACCTAATCCTACAATCCCTTCATCTTCGTGTTTGAGATCACAAGAAACACAGGTCTGTTCCACATGAGAATTGTCTTTCCCCCCCTATCACAGGAAAGAAAATCCTAAAATAACGGGGGAATTCTGCAGCAAAGCAGTTTTCCAGCATTCCCAGCCCGGCTCCCACCCCTGTTTGCGGCACCGAGCCCTCTGCCTGCGCTCAAAGCTGTTCCGAATTAGGAGGCTAGATTTTTTCTAATTGCGTTTTTAAAGAGCGAGCCAGCAGTTCATTAGAAATCACGGAGCGAATTCTGCTTCTCTATTACACCAATATAAATCTTGAATGAATTTATATCGGGATAACTGGGAGGGTAGAATGTACCTCCCATCTCGTTCCTCCGATTATTAAAAGTTAAAGGGCCTTGGAAATTAAATTCACCTTTCCCCGTTCGAGCTGTTTACTCTTTGTTTTTGATTCCAGTAAGGACAGTTGAAATGAATTAGTCGCTCTCATTTCTGCTCGTAGTCACTTTTAAGTTTGGTTCTCATGTACTAGCCCGAGACTAGTTTGTGTGGAAAAGACTGGAGGGCACTTTCTTTCAAACAAATTGTTTTCATGGGAATAATTTCCTAGAGAATTATATTAAAACCTTTCCATGAATCCTTGATTTTGCAAAAAAAAATTAAATATATATATTTTTTTTTTTTCCCTCATATATCCTTGATTTGGGGGACTTGGCAAGCCTTTATTTGCAGATATAAATGAGCACCTTAATGAAAGTCCTTGAGAATTTTACCCTCTAATAGGCTAACCTTATTTAACTGAAATACTTTTTAAATGATTCAGCCTGGTGAGCGAGGCTTCGTCTTGAAGGAAAATTTCGCCTCTTGAGTTATGAACCCTTGCAAATAAGGTTTTATAATAGAAACACTGTCAGAACTTTAATTATAGGGTAATAAATAGCAATGCTGCATTATCTTCTGATACTTCTTTACATCCTTAGCGAATATACACAGCTGTTGCTGGAAACTGATAATCAAGTGCTATATAACTCTGCCACAACTTAACACCCACCCTCCCTGGAACAGCCAAGGGCTTCCCGGGGAAGGAGGCTCTGGGATGCGGGAGATGATGCGGGATGATGCCTGAATCCCATCTGACCCCGGGGGTGGGAGGAAGGGAGGGAGAAGGGGGGGGAATTGGGATGTTGGCACCCTTGGAAAAGACTTTTTTCCCCATCCCAGCGAGGCTGAAGGGATGGAGGTGGGGGCAGAGGAGGGAGCCCAGGGTTAAACGAGGCCAAATTATTAATAATAAGAGTAATAATGCTAAAGGAGAGGAGGGGGCAAACGGATGCGCCGGAGGATTTTTGGGGAAGGGGGGGGGGGGGGG